CATAGTAGGACGAAATAAGTACTAATTATTTCTTGATCTTCAACATCCATTGTTTAATCAGTTACACTAGAATTTGAACAATCTTCATATTTCATCACTTTCAATATAAAATAAATAAATAAATAAATATTCAATGGTTAAGATCATGAGTCATTTGAAGTTAGGCTACCAAGGAAAACCTGGAAGCACTGGATAGCCGTTTCGTCCTATTGTGGGACTCCTCAGCAGTGCACATCCACGACTGTTGGACAATTTCGTGGATCAATTGAAGTTAAACATTAACACTGTTGGATGCTGGCTGGCTCATTGGTCTAGTGGTTAAGTGCTCGCGAGTGAAATCAGTAGGTCCTGGGTTCGAATCTCGCAGTAAGCGAAGTCGTGGATGCCCACTGCTAAAGAGTCCCACAATAGGACGAAACGGATATCCAGTGCTTACAGGTTTTCCACAGTGGTCTAGCTTCAATTGACTCATGATCTTAACCATTGATATTATTATAATATCCCATCTGAAAATAAATATTCTTTAATTAATTCGCTGATTGATTGACCTTCTTAAATGAAAATAAAGAAACAAATAAAATAAAACAAATCGATGACAAAAAAAGGACATTCGAAAAGTATTCATTGAACCCTCTCCCCTTCCCCCCCCCAAATAATCTATTCCATTTAATTGACATATATATATATACATATATATTTAAAAGAGAAGCATGGCAACATAATAGAATTAATTGTACAATTGTATGACTTATCTCCATTTCTATAAGATAGATATTATTCCAATGAAGATCTCTAAAGCGAATGTATCCATGATTCAATAATGATAAGAAATCTGGTATTATAGTTATATCCCAAATGGAATGATAAAAATGCTATGGATTTTGATTGAGGGAATTTTAATAAGTCTATCTTGTTCAAACAAGGTAACATAAAGTTTATTATTTTTATATCAAATAATCTATTCACTTAAACTTTTTGAGGGGAAGGTAAATAACTTGACTACACCACAGGTTACCTGTATAATTGTAATACAGTTAGTTATTTTACCCATGTTTACCAATTTAATTGTTAAATTCACGATGTTCCACTGCCTTGTGGATCAGACCTTCAGGTCGAAGGCTCGGGAAGTGGCCTCCTAAGAAAACCACTTGCTTCGGTTTGGGCACCCGGGCAGTATCACAGCCCTCACACATATCGAATGAGATTTGTGTGGCGCATATGTATTTGGTGCCTCCCTGTACCAATATCTATGTAAATAAATAACCATGGAAAACCTGGAAATACGGGACGGTCGTTTTGTTCTAGTATGGGACTCCTCAGCAGTGTGTATCCAAGACGGTGGGACAATTTCATGGAGTGGTTGGCTATCGGTTCAGTAGTCTACAAGTTAAGCTTTCGTTCGCGAGACCGATAGGTCCTGAGTTCGAATCCTGCATACGGGATAGTAGATTTCACTACTCCCCAGTCCCATAGTAGGATGAAACGGCTGTTAAGTGCTCCCAGGTTTTCCTTGATAGTCTAGCTTAAATCGTCTGATGAATTCAATGGTTAAATTACTACAATCTCTAGTATTTTCTTTATTTTGCTTAATTACGTAATGAATTCAAATGTTTGTCTATTACAGTAATTAACCTTTGAATAATACTTTTCTTTGATAAAGATACTTGACAAAAAGGCTATTCAAATTGAGTTAACTACTTATCTCTTTGTTAAATAACACTTTTGTGTACATGAAACTATATATAGACTGAAGGGTTTGTTAGTCTTTAAACTTCTCTTTACTTGTAATTATCTAATTAATGATAAACGAATACATCAATATGAGTTCAAAAGTTAAAGGAATTGAACTTCAATAATCTATTTACTTACTGGAACCTTAATTTACCAGTATCACTTTGAGAATTTATTCATAACCAGAAACTCAGTTAAAGCGCCGTACATTCGGTTTTCTTACTCTCACTCACGTAAACAACACCTTCAATGCAAAAAGTCAGTGAGTATGATATCCCTGGCAATGGTTGTATGCATGTGCCTATATGAGAGAATTTCGAGAAGGAGAGCTAACTTGTTCCACTCTTGGCCATACTACGGCATTTGGGGGTATATGAAATGATAAGATGGTTGAAAAAGAGATTTATATCTTATCTTAATTTATCTTGATTGTCCAAAAAGATGTTTTATCCTGATAAACATTTCCGAATATAGTAATGTAATGAACGAGAACATAAGTAAGGACAATCCAATGTATTTGAACATCCAAATTATGATTGGTAAATACTTCATTTACAAAGTATCAGTCAATTATCTCAGAATTCATTGTTCTATCGTATCCTCATCAATCATTATTTGTTCTCATTCTCTCCTTCTTCGATCTTCTTAACTTTCTGCCACCAAGCATTTCACTTCCGATTGATGATACATACTACTTATATCTGTCGATATCAGTAGCACACACCACAAGATGATAATCACAATCATGAATCAAATTCATCAAATTAAATTATTCCCATCCAGTTTAGAAATAGTTGGGATCATGAGTCAATTGAAGCTAGACCACCATAGAAAACCTAGAAGCATTGGAAGATTGTTTCGTCCTATTATGGGACTCCTCAGCAGTGCGCATCCACGATCCTGTCTCATGAGATTCGAACATAGGACATATCAATCTTGTGCATGTGCGCTTAACCATTGGACCACTGAAGCAGCCGGCATCCAACAGTGTTAATGTTTAACTTCAACTAATGCACGAAATTGAGCAACACATCCACAAATGTCATCAATGAGTTACTATCTCACAACTGACCCAACTGAACTCCACTGATCACTGCTTCTCATTTGAATTCCAGGATATAGTAATGCCAACAGTTGAGATCATGATTGATTAGATCATAAAACATGATTACTAGTTATCAAAAGAATTTCATTTAAAACTAGAAAAATGTTATTTACTCCTATTAGGAAAAGTAAACAAAAAGTGATCACATCATATTGATGACCAGATTACGTAACACAGTACTAATTATAATTGTATCTATCCTGTAAAAATGTTGAACAGAAAAATGCAAACTATTCTAATCAATAGTTATCCCCTATCATTGAAATATCAAACTGTTAATTATTTATCAGTATAGGGTTGTGTTTAGTTGTGTCTGTGTGTGTGTGAGTGTGTGGTTAAGATCATGAATTGATCCATGTTAGATCACTATGACAAACCTGTAACTATTAGGCAACTATTTTCTCTTTGGTAACTTAGTAACTAGTTTCCTTCTTTTTTGTTGTTGTTGTTGTTGGTTTTTTATTCTATGGAATTGAGTAAATACAAAGAAAAAGAAATAAAACTGGTAATTAATAATAGTAATAATAATAAGTAGAATTATTAATGACTATGGGTCATAATTAAAACTTTGTTTATTTATGAATTGGTATTAGTTTCTTTCTTATTTTTGAGAAAGGGGTGGGATGAGATGGGATGGGGGTGGTGTGGGGGTGGCAATGAATCCAGTAATTACACCTTAAGAATTGTACATGATACAAAAAGAGTATTTGTATTATGATTTCGTTATGGTAGTAACTAAGATCATGTTATTTCCTACACTTTCATTTTAATTTTATTCTCTTGATGGGAGCATTAAACCAAAATATTAGTTGAAGTTTTTTTGAGTAAATGACTACGGAGAAATATTGGCAAGTGATAAATTACGGCGATCTGATTGAATATCTGGGTTACTTATTCTTGTCATCTGGATATATTCAACATATTATCTGGGGTTTTTTTTGTTTGTTAGTCGTATAACCTATTCAGCTACGTTGATAGAAAGTTTAGGATATTTTACTGTACAATTTTTATAAAACAGCGCAATCAGAAACGTCGTCATTGTAATCAATATATAGTGCAAAGAATGTACATTATGCAGATATCGATTCCTGAATTGCTAACATTTTAACTGATGTCTACTTAATATTGTTATTGTCAGGATTGTCCAAGAAGTAAGAAATGGAAACTCGTTGAAATACATTGTGTACCGTGATTTCAGCACCTTTAATTCAATAATTTATGATTGGTTAGAAGATTTATAGCTCAGTTAGACAATTATGATAGAGTTTTTATTCTCTGTACTGAATGGTTTGATCGTAAAGCTTTCATTATTCTTCTGAACAACATCATCACTATAAATTTCTTCATATATATCATTCACAACTTGTTTTTATAGACTTGAATGATAAAAGCTTTCATTTAACTGATTATGTCATTTAGAAGAACAATGAAAGCTACACAACTGAACCATTCAACTCAAAGGACAAAACTTCATCAAGAACATTTGTCTTGATAAATTGTTATCAAGCTGTTTTATCAAGTTGTTGAATATTGATTAATATCAGATGTGTTTTGTGGATATTATAGTAATTTCAATGGTGAAGATCATGAGTCAATTGAAGCTAGACCACCATGAAAAACCTCTTCAGCAATGCGCATCCACGACCCAGGATCTACGATCTCCACAAAATCACTTCTGATACTTATCAACATATGCTCACTAGTTATTAACTTCAAGGTGTATATCGTGGAGTTCTAGTGAGAAGTAGTGACCAATAGAGTTCAACTGGGTCAGTTGTAAAATAGTAACTCACTGATGACAATATTAGATGTGTCGCTCAATTTCGTGTATTAGTTGAAGTTAGACAATAGCACCGTTGGATGCCGGTCGGCTCAGTGGTCTAGTGGTTAAGTGCTCGAGCGTGAAACCAGTAGGTCCTGGGTTCGAATCTCGCAAGGGGCGAGTTCGTAAATATGCAATGTTCAGCAGTTCCACAATAGAACGAAACATCCGTCCAGTGCTTCTAGGTTTTCCATGATGGTCTAGATTCAATTGACTCATGATCTTAACCATCGAAGTTCTTGAATATTGATTGCAACTGATCACATTACACTGAAGTCATCTAACATTTCTCTTTGTTTCTTTTATAGAATTAAATACAAACGAATCATAATCATTGTATTCATGGAGTTTCATTATCCTTCAGCATATTCCACACCGACTACTTTAAATAATTTACAAATGAATAATCATGAAAAAATCATTTCTCTTCAGAATATGAATGATCCATTCAATATGTCAACAAATTCTCTCCATTACAATTTAAGACATGTACCATCCTGTTCATCTGAACTTCAGTATAATCATAGCATTAAACAATATGAAGTACAAGAAGTAGAAGAAGTAGAAGAAGAAGAAGAAGAAAAAGAAGAAGAACAAGTAAAAGTAGAAGTAAAGGTGAAAGATCATGAAAAACATGAAACTATGAAACAATTCGATGTATTTGATATAAGTCCACAATTGAATTTTGGTGAATCATCATCAAGTATTGAAACATTTAATAATTTATCAAGTTATTTTAATCCATCAAATGAATATAACACTCATATAGATTGGTTATCTCAATTATCACAAACAACAACAACAACAACAGCAACAACAACGAATTGTGAATCAATTTTAACTAATAGTAATTGTATAAGTCCGTCATGGAAACATAATGAATATGTACATTATTCTTATACAAATTGTTCAACAGATATGAATATACCACAGCAACAAGAGCGACAGTCACAACAACAACAACCACCACCACTACCATCACCACCACCACCACCACAACAACAACAGCAACAGATAGAATATCAACAAATTGAACAGAAAACATTTCAAGAATTTCATAATGTTCAATATAATCAATTAGATGAAATGTTATATCAATATCCAATTCATAATAGTTTCTATGATCATATTATAGAACCATATGATACTATAGATATGACTAAACATATTCAATCTATTCAAAAAGGATTCAATATAGATCCATATAATACATTATATGATACTCCTATTCAATCGTTAGATACTACTTATATTAATAATAATAATAATATAATCAATAATCAACATATTACACCTATACATCATAATGAACAACCAATCACATATCCATTGACTTATGATGATCATGATCCGGATCATAATGATCATAGTGATCATGATCATCATAATAAAAAATTACCAGTAGATACAACATTTCCTAAATCTCAATATTATTTAATTAATAAAACAAAAAATCAATATTTTAATTGTCAATTATGTTCATTAGAAAATTCTTATCCATTAATAACAAAATCTCAATCAAATTTTAATCAATATAATTGGGAAAATTATCCTCAAACTATAATCAATAATCAATTTAATTCTATCTATGAAGAAAATATAAATGATAATCAATATTTTCAAGAACATTCTACACAAATATTGAATGGATCTTATTTACCATCTTATAATCAATATATCAATATTTATGATAATCATAATCATGAACAAAAAAGAAAACAATATAAAAAACATATAAATCATGAAACAATCAATTATAAAAATCGATTAAAATCAATATTACCCCAGCAACAACAAGAACAACAACGATCATCATCATCACCATCTTCACAACAACAACAACAACAACAACAACAACAACAACCATCTAAAGCGACAACAACTACAACAACAAAATTAACCAAATTATTTCATATTACTCATGAACAATTAAGTAGTTTACTTCCATTTATAACATGTAATGAAATTCATGAAATATTGAATCAATTTAATCCACCAAATACAATGGCACAATTTCAAACGATATGTATTAACAATAAGGATAATAATAATCATCATATTTATTTTCAATTAAAAGAGCAAAAAATTTGGTCAGATATATATTTACATAATACTGAAATGATAGCTACAAATACAGGAAGGTTAGTTGATATAGCAACCAAAAGTGTATGTGTGTGTGTGTGTTGTTTAAATCGATAGATTTATGGAAGTAGTAACCAAGTGGAATCATTGAAAATTAATGTTAGGAAGAATCAGTTCCTTCAAAAATAAAACAGGTGCACTTTGTTGATGATGAATGCCAAGTAGTATGAAACCTAGGTCGAGGGTTTCTCATTGACTACCTCCAATCAGCTAGACTGGTGGACATATTGCGATTTGATTGATAGGATTCGATCAGCACTAAGAAGGACCTGACATATATGGCATTGATCATCACCCAGCGACTAATCAATTGTAAAGAGTAATATATGATTCAATTTTCGAATTTAGTACTTAGATACACTAACATCATCATTTTAAACATCAATGAGTTGTTTATTAATCCAGTTACTAATCTATTCACTTTGTATGATACAGGTAAATGTAGGCAAATATAAACAGAGTCCATTCATTAGTAATAGCTGATCATTTTAGTCTTGAATGGATCATTAGCAATAAAATATAAACAAACAAATGATTATGATAGTTTGGATCTATTTTCAGTATACTCAATCACACATTATCGAACGTAGATTATCTCTAACATTCACCTTATAATTTCACATAGTGTACACAATGTCGAGACTAATCATCACATTACTACTTGATTGATCGATTATGATCAGTATTGAAGGACTTTACATAAATGATATTGGTCAATCAATTGTAAATACATCACATTCTTATAATATATCAGCAGTGACCTGAATAGCTTAGTAGTAACGTCTCTGACTGTGAAGCTGATTAATACTGAATCGAATCTATCAGGGGTTAGTAGATCCTTCAAGATTATAGACATACCTTGCTGATGAATGCCAAGAGTTCCTTGAACATTAACTCCAACTACTAAATTTTACAAATACTTTCGTAATATTTTATTAAAATGGGCAAACACAATCGTTATTGTCCTAGAATGAGATACCTTGGTAACTGATCAAGTTATGTTTATATACTAGTTCATAGTTTTCAACTAATATCTAACTAAATTCAATCGATGTTGTAAACTATGAAATTTATGTTTACTTCAACAAGGTATAAGTGATTTATATGATTACTCCACCCGGAGTTCCTCTGGGGCTACTACCGGTCCCAAGCCCGGATAAAGGAGGACGGTTGGGCATGGAGTTAGCAACCCCAGCCCTTAAGAAACTAATTTGCTAAAAAAAACGCTAACCAGAAAAAATTATTCAAACCAATTAAACTCTACCCTAGGAGTCAGGTCTTCATTTAGAAGAGTTATGACGCCTCATAGTGAAAGCCGAATCCCTTTATAAGTCACGAGTCTGAGGTCCCATCTGACAACCGGAGCAACCATTTATTTAGGTACATGGCATGCTCGTACAATGTGGGAGACCGGGAGAGTCTTCCAAATTGCTGCAGTGATCTGAATATTTGGCTATTAACATCAAATTAGTATTGACATATACAGTTTACTAGTTAATAGCTAAATGTACCCAATCACTTAACCATACATGAACTAGTTTTAAAGAGAATAAGAACAAAGACTGGTGCTGTAGGATGCTCTCACATTGCCAGGCGTATATAGCCTCTGACAGGGAAGTCCTACTCACTGCCTTCTCGCACCACGGGTGTTGTTTACGAAAATGAGAGGACGAAAAGCGAATGTCCGGCGCTTTAACCGGATTCCAAACCAATGGTACATATGGGACCCAGTATCCTGCGGGAACAAATGCTGTATGAACCAATTGTTGATCACCGGCTTCCATGGGACTTCATTTTCTTACGTTGCTCCACTGCCTTGTGGATCAGACCTTCAGGTTGAAGGCTCCGGGTGTGGCCCCCTAAGAAAACCACCTGCTTCGGTTTGGGCACCCGGTCAGTATCACAGCCCTCACACATATCGAATGAGATTTGTGTGGCGCATATGTATTTCGTGCCTCCTTGTAACAATATCTATATGTTAAAATAAAATAAACGTTTCTTCCTATTCGAGGCTCGTCAATTGGATGTATCTGCATCTCAGAGGTGATGTTCACTTTTGGCACTCGAACCTAGTACTGTCCGCCATCGTGTAATCCATTTAGCTACTAGAATTTACACATTTCTTATTATGAAAATGATCATTGATTCAATGAATTTCATCATGATGTTTATTTCACATCTTTCTTATTTCTTTCAATGATTATTTAGACGAATATTTCCATCTTTATCAGTGTATGTATTTGGTTTAAATCCAAATGATCAATATATTTTCTTATTGGATATGCTTTTAATACAACCACATATATTTAAACATCAAGGTGATCGTTGGATTATTAGTAGTCAATCGGAAGTATTAAATCATTCTCATACATTAGGTAAGTATTACTACTTTACTACTACTTTACTTTCTAAAGATCAGACCTATAATTTATAGATGACTATTGAGTGACGGTATAGTGATCCTGATAGTGTCCACCTAATAACTGGGACTGAATGAGGGTTATGAAATATGACAGAAGGATTAGAATTATAATTTACAGTTGATGGTTAAGGGTTAGGAATTAGATTTAGAGTTTTCATCTTGAGCTGTGGTATCAGCTAGAATGATGAAATTCTATTTAGTCAAATGGATGAGTGAATTTCGCACCAGAATTCGAAATCTGTTATCTTATACTTGATTGGTTCGTCCATACATTAGACTCTCACCGATGTTTATTTAGATTATTTATTAGATTGTCTATATGTTTTAATGAGGCGATAATCCGATTGATGTCAACATCTAGAAACATTGACTTCGGTGGATTGGACATGTTCTACGAAACACAATTGATTGATCACTGGGTGGTGATCAATCTCATGCTTGTCTAGTCCTTATTAGTGCAGATCGAATGCTATCGATCATGTTGCAATGTGGCCACCAGTCTAGGTGACTCGACACTGCGGGCACTATGTATTGAGGCTTCTGTTGGTCGTTCACTACTCCTTGGCTGGGGTTAGAGACGTTATCAGATATGGATCAGAATAGAATCCAGTAGCGATCCTGCTTTAACCTTCTTTTACTTTCTTCATAAGAAGTGATTGTATCTTCCTTAACTGGAAGAATTCCTTCTGGTTGTACCTTTTCGTTTCCCCCACTATTATCATAATTATTATTATACGCACCTTCCCTTCTTTTTTCCTCTTCGCATTCTCATTGTTTTGTGTGGCGCATATATATCTGGTGCCCCCCCCTTGTACCAATATTTATGTATTCAAATCAATAATAAAGTAAAACAATGAATATTGATTATCTTCTTTATTTTGTTTTAAGAAGGTAAATATTATATTCAAGAAGAATCCCCTAAAACTGGTGCATATTGGATGGAATCTGGTGTCAATTTTACTCGGGTTAAAATTACAAATACTAAAGAAATAAAACCCTATAAAAACATGGTAAGTTTTGCTTTTCTTCTTCTTCTTCTTTACTTAAAATACATTTCATCAATGTATATATATATATAAGTGATGTAATGTCAGTTACTATGGTAACCCCATATCCCTTATTCTAGCTTCTTGATAGGTTGATCTATTCGCATTTATTTTTTTGTGTCACATTTTGGTCTGTTAAATGATTCACTTAACAACCTTTAGAGTATGTGAGTGTACACTTCTTATCCTATTCATTACATATCTGTAGCGTACTTTTGTTGGACTATGAATATCGACTAATGCTTGACTAAATGAAGTTGGTTCGCACCCTTCACCACCACGCACCATTTCGTTTCGTTTTAATCTCTCTCTCTCTCTGTCCTCTTCGCTTCTTTCCCTTTATTCCTCTCATTTCCTGTTGAGATCAATGAGTATAGAAAATGTATATGCTCAAACATCTATTCTCATATTTAACTAATTTAATTACGTTATTCACTAATGCAGATTAAGTCGATTATTACATACAGGGATAACCTATACTAGTATTTTGACAAAAATCATTCAATAACAATCATTTTTTTATTGAGACCATGCACCGATTGATGTTAGACTACCACAACTGAAAACCTGGAAGCACTGGACAGCCGTTTCGTCCTGTTGTGGGACTCCTCAGCAGTGCGCATTCACGATCCCGCTCTCAGGATTCGAAACCTAATAATCTCCACAACCCCTATACTAACAATAATTTTTCCGATCTAACTGGATTCAAACACATGGCCATTACTAGTGAACAGGATGTTCGGCGTGACTATAATTTATAGATGAATCAATCAGGTATAAGATAACAGGTCTTGGATTTAGGCACAAAATTCATTCATCCATTTGGCAAAATAACGTTTTGATATTATAGCTGATGTCACAGTTCATGATGAAAACCCTTAAATCTAATTCCTTACCCTTAATCCCTAACTGTAAATCATAATTCTAGTTCTTCAAACAGGTTTATAACCCTCATTTAGTCATGGTTGTTAGGTGGATACTCTCAGGATCACTTTAGTATCACTCAAAGGTCGTCCATAAACTATAATCTTACCATTAAGTTTTTGTCTTTTTCTTTTGACTTCTAAAAGTTTTAATTGTTTCCCCTTGAAACGCCAGCCCTGTTCAGAGTTAAAAGCTTAAGTTTTTCAATAATGAAGCGAAGGTAGTTTTGCTAACTATAGCCTATAGACACTTAATTTTATCATCTATCTGTTAACTGCTGATGAACAACATGTGACTTTCTATGATGAGAATTTAGCTTCAACTTATCAAACAAAAGAGAAAAGTTCAAATTAACTTGATGATCATCCTGTAGAAAACTAACTCGCAAAAATACGCTAACCAGAAAAATATTGATGATACGTGGAGGAAAGAAAGAACGCTAAACATTAGGGTGAATAAGATAATAGAATACAATGTATAAGAGCGACAACAAACTTGGGATTTAAATGAAAACAAAGAATGAATGCGATTATAACCCCGTTTACTCTATGTAAGTCAACAATCAGTCAGCTGTTAGGTGGTTGATTGTATTCAGCAGACAGCGCTGTTAACTACTTCCAGACACCTAACATTTCCGCGTAGTGTATGTGATGCCAAGTCATTCAGATGAGTATCTGTTATAGCGGAACGAATATCATAGAATTGGTGAGAAGATATAACACTAGCTACACTGCAGGTTGATTGATAGAATTCAATCATCACTAAAGATCGGTCACTAATCAATGATCCATCAATTGTAAATAAGCAAGTTGGACAACAAGATTCGAAAATTATCCTTTATTCGTTATCAGTATAGGGATATGAAGATTAATAAGTTGTTGATTGAGATTATGAATCGATTGATGTTAGACCACTAATGAAAACCTGGAAGCACTGGACAGCCGTTTCGTCCTATTGTAGGACTCCTCAGCAGTGCATTTATACATTTATATAAAGTATTTAAACGTTCAAGTAATGTGTTACTGCTTATTTGGAAATAACACATTTCTTAATTGTCAATTCTCAATTCCACTTCTCTATTTTGTTTTCCTTCCCAATCAATCAGATTCATGTCAACAGTATGCATTATTATATTCCAAGAATTTCTGTTGTTCGTTTGAATCATTTAATGGATAATCAATCAAATTATTATCATCCTACATCTAGTTCATCAGAAATATCTAGTCAGTCTAATCAATTAGAATTAATTGGTTCTTATATAATACCCGGTACACAATTCTATACAGTTACAGCTTATCAAAATCCAGATGTGATACGTATAAAGATTAATAATAATCCATTTGCTAAAGGATTTCGTAATCGTCAAGATACTGATGATTTTAATGATTTAGCTGTTTTATCTGTTATGAATTCAAGGAACAAGTATATGACAACAATAACACCAACAACAATGTCACCATCATCAACATCGTTATCAGTATCATCGATTAACTTTTCCAAAAAAAAACACATCAACTATTCAAATGAAAATTATCAATGCTAATTTCAATCTGTATTGTTTTGTCTTTTGGTTTGTTATCTTAATATTTCTCTTGTTTTCCATATTTACTCTTGAAAAATTTCTAAAGTTCTGTAAATATTTGTTTAATGAGTTGTTTTTCTAAAGAAAAAATACATTATCTTCTATTTTTCAATGAGTTTTATGTTTCATTTATCATTGGTTAGTATGAAGGAGCGAGAAAATTTTCACGTTTAATTTTTAACTACTAATAGTAGTATAAAATTTAAAAACGCAAAAAGTTGCCGAGACCTTAATATACATCTGATGGGTTTTACGGTGCGCACTGCTGAGTAGTCCCATACTGGGACGAAATGGCCGTCCAGTGCTTCCAGGTTTTCCATGGTGGTTTAGCTTCAACTGACCCATGATTTTACTCAGTGAAGTATACATCTGTTTAGTAAGCATTGGTAATTTGTTTTTCCTCCATAGACATGAATAAAGGTGTTATACATAGATTTAATTTATTAAGAGTTTATCATTAGTTATGAATGTCTTTTCAAAAACTGCATTTATAAATTTCTGTCTGGATATTTGAATTGTCGTTTAGTATGTCGAATCATTGGTCATAAAATAATCAATACAAAGAACAACGAAAAATAAACAGACCAACTAAGATGACAACCTTGAAACTATTCAGACCAATCCCAAGAACGAATTATATTTCATAAATACAATCAATCCTTTGCAAAGTTACAATCGTATCACATTCTATTGAGTCATAAATCTGTAGGATTCACTGAATAACCTATTACCGTTTTCAATTATGTAACAACTAATCAGTTAAATAAATAGATCAGTTAAAATGTTTTGTTTACATTGTGTAGCTATGCTTTTTTCTTTCCATCATCTACTGACATTTGATTCGATAAATATCAAGTTCAACGTAGTTTCATTGAGAAGCATTGGTCAGTGGCGATCAACCGGATGTGTTGTGAGATAATCACTCACCAAAGACAATGGTGTATAGTGACTCAATTTTGTGGATTAGTTGAAGTTAGACAATAACGCCGTTGGTTGTCGGCTGGCTCAGTGGTCTAGTGGTTAAGCATTCATGAACGGGACTGATATGTTCCATGGTCGAATCTCGTGAGGCGGGCTCTTGGATACGCATTGCTGAGGAGTCTCACAATAGAACTAAACAGCCGTCCAGTCCTTCCAGTATTTCTATGGTAGTTTAACTTTAATCGGCTAATGAATTCAATAACATAGAATTATCTTCATTCTATAGTGTCCGGTACTACATCAGTCCCATATGGGTTATTTTAAGTTCAGGACAAACTAATTTATTTGTTCTTCTTGAGTCACACTTTGACCTTACCAATTATTTGCCATTGAAATGAGCAAAGAAATGTTCTTTTTCTTTTCGATGAATTCGTTTACATTCGTATTCATAGTTGTATGGTGAATATATGAGTCTATAGAAAGACAAGAAAGATTGCTTCATAAATTGGTTTATGACTCTTATTATCAGATGAGGTTATGCAATAATCAAGGGAAGGGAGATTAGAGAAGAATTGAAAGATGAAGAAGAAGAAGAAGAAGAAGAAGAAGAAGAAGAAGAAGAAGAAGAAGAAGAAGAAGAATAAACATAAATGTCATAATCATAAAAACTGAATAATAATCAAGATAAATTTGTTTAAAGGGTAATAATAACTGATCACAGTCGAAAATTACAAAACGCTAACTTTAAAAAATAAACATACTACAGAAGGGAATTAAAACTAAGAAAGGATGAGAAGTTGGACGTATCGTTTTTGTGCGTAAAGTTCGGACTCGAATTGGTGGATTGCCAACTCTTCAGGAGTTCATAAGTTGTTGATTTGACTTACCTTCAAGATTTTGGCATCCGTACCTCCTTTAAATTCGATACTCATAAAAAAAGTTTTCTCTAGAACTGTTGGTGCTTTTTCAGGATGTTGTCTAGATGTTAAGTTCATAATGTTCCTACTATTCGCTTATTAACCTTAGCTGCTTTATATGAGCATATGTGTCCATCTCTTATCCTATTCGTCATCTGTCTTTAGCTTATTTTGTCTGGTTATAAATATTACCTTACGCTTGACCAAAATTAAGCTGACACGTTTCTATGATTGTCTGTCTGGAGCAATGCGTTTATGAAATATACGTATCCCAAATTGATTCACGCACTTGACTCACTTTATTTCGTTATTCCCTAACACAGATTAAATCGATAATTATATACGAAGGTAGCCGACATTTATTTTTCGTTAATACTATTACTATTCGATCCTATCGTAGTCAAATAAACGGGCCATAACAAATCTTCTGCAATAAATGATGTTTAAAACTTTTAACTACTCATTAGTAACTAAACGAAGTTAACAAAAAATATTTACACCTCAATATTTCGATTAATTTGTTAGTCCGTCTAAAATGTCACCGATAGATGAAACTACATGAAAGTAGAAAATATGAAATTTTCCATTAAAATTTAATTGTACATTCAAAAGAAATTCACCAAAAAGAATAATTGGTTGTTTTTTTTATTAGTATCCAAATTACTCTTCGCCATAAGTGTTTTAAAGTCAATTGTTCAGATTCAACATGTTTTCACCTTCAGGATACAGTTTCTCTTGACAGTAAACGTTTTATACCTTGTTTTAACCTGGTACTCCCAATGGAGCATAGACCGCCAACCAACATTCTCTAACCCACTTTGTCCTACACCTTCTTTTCTAGTTCGACCAAATTCTTGTTCTTTCTTCTCATGTCTCTCTGTATCCATTTCTCAATATAATGTGTTCTTTGGTCTTCCACTAATCCTTTGGCCTTCTCGATTCCAAGTGATGACTTGCCTTGTGACGCAGTTGGGTGTTTTCCTCACTGTGCGTTCTGTACACTTTCAGCACTTCTTCCTAATTCCTTCCTCCACTGCAATCTGATTTGTTCTCTCCTACAGTAGGTTGTTGATGATAGTGTTTGACCAACGGATCCGAAGTATTTTGCGTAGAATATTGTTTAGAAATAGTTTTACCTTTTTGAAATATGAAAACATAATCAAATGTAAATAAAACTTTCCAAATATCTCTACTAATCATTATAGATTGTAAACAGATTATAAGTTAATATTTTGTTTGTTTGTTTTTGATCATTCATTGTATGTTTATGATTTGTTTTACCGAACGGTAATTCACCTTTATCAAACAACCATGTTGTAAAGGTCACTATATCTAATAAAGATATAGATATATATATATACGATCAGATAAGATAGCCCGTATGAATAGTGAACTAGTATGAAAAAGGCAAATTATTCAAGTAGTGGAGAATAGAAATGTAAATTACGATGGTAGTGTAGTGTGTGTGTTACTGATGTCGACACATAAAAGTAGTATATGTATCATCAATCGAAAGTGAAATGCCTGACAGTAGAAGGCTAAGAAAATCGAAGGAAAGAGAACAAGAACAGAAAATGATTGGTGTGGTATCAAAAGAACAAAGAAATCTGAGATGATTGATTGACAGTTTGCAAATGAAGTATTTGCAGTATGATTCTCAGATTTCAATAAGACATTCCGTATTGTTGCATTCAAATATATTTGATTGTCGCCACTTGTGTTCTCGTTCACTACAGGAGGAATTAAATACAGAACAAGGCTAACTAATATTAGATTAAAAGACAATGTAATCACTTGTTACTAATAACTTTCTGTACATTGAAATGCAGTTTTTTGTTGATGGCACGGACAAAATTATTCATTCTTTTCATTCATTACTCCTGTTACTCCCAATGAAGGATAGGCTGCCAACCAATATTCTTCAACCCACTCTGTCCTACATCTTCCTTTCTAGTTCTATTCAATTGATGTTCATTCTTCTCATGTCTGTCTTCATTTCTCGGTGTAATGTGTTCTTTGGTCTTCCACTCATCCTTTGACCATAAGGATTCCAATTGAGGGCCTCCTTTGTGACGCATTTGTGTGCTTGCCTGCGTCACTAACTTACTAAAAAAAACGCTAACTCGAAAAAATTATTCATTGTACTTGAAAAAATACAAAACGCTGATATATAAACGAAGTGAGATACAATGATTGTCAGATATGATGAATGAATTGAATTGTGAGATGATGGAGAAGATTTGTAGCTTAGATGGATGATTCTGATGGAGTTCTGTTCTCTGAGCTGGATGATTTGGTTGTGGAGCTTTCATCGTTCTTCTGAACGACATCATCAGCACAAACTTCAGCTCAGAGAATAAAAATCCATCAATTGAATTGTATTTGAATAGTCATCATTAACATTTGATCTAACTTTAATGGTTAGTAACGGATAACAATCTAAACTTCCTTATAAACACATGGTTAATTCAGTGAATACATAACCACTAAGTATTCACTATGGTGCATCAGCGATCAATCAATTAACCTAATCAATAAATAGTTTTGTGAAATATCAATGTGTTGGTAATGCTAGAAAATATAAAACAATGAAACGTTTACAAAATATGACATCTAATGACTTTCATGAAGTGTTACCCATTGAAAATAGAGAGATGAAGAGTGTGTGTATGTGTGTGTGTGTGCAGCAATTTGGATGACTCTCCTGATCTCCCACATTGTACGAGCAATCCATATACCTAAATTAACGGTTGCTCTGGTTGTCAGAAGGGGCATCAGCCTCGTGACTTATGAATGAACTCGGCTTTCACCATGAGGCGTCATAACTCTTCTAAATGAAGACCCTCTAACTCCCAGGGTAGAATTTAAATGGTTTGAATTATCCCTTCCTGATTAGCGTTTTTTTTTGTGAGTTAGCTTTCTACTGGCTGGGGTCGCTAACTCCACGCCCAACCCTCCTCCTTTATCCGGTCTTAGGACCGATAGTAGCCCCAGAGGGGCTCCAGGCGGAGTTAATGTTTTTGTATGTGTGTTTGGGGGGGGGGGTAAATTAAATATCGAAAACTGTGGATTATTTTAAAAATGGAATTAGATTCTTACATATTAAGTGTTTAAAAATAGATTTTTGTTCTAATGGCATTTACTAGTACTTTCATTGA